GAGCAACTCGGGTCCACAAATCTTCGTTTTTGTTGTCTAAGGTTGAGTTGAATCTGAACCAGTAGGCATGGTTATCGATAGCAGTTCCTAAAGTAAGAGTTGAGTTGAATTCGGTGGGTTCTGGGTGTCCGAAAGTAGCGAGATAGAATTCAATGGATCGAGCAAAGAATGCAGGGTTGTTGATTCGGGATGGATATCGTTGGATCAAATCTTGGACAATTCTTCGTGCATTTGTTTCTTCTGATGGGTTAATTTCGCCAATAGCAACGTATTCACCATCGATATCTTGTTCGTGTCTGAATGAACCAACAAAACCAGATGCTGGGTATTCCTCGTTTTGAACAAGAGTCAAGTTGATGTTGTTGTTGAATTGGTTCATTTCATTGTATTTCTCCAAAAGCCAGGCAACGGTTCCTTCACAAGGGATCTCGGTTAAGTCAATGAACCAGGGTCGTTCAGTGGTTAAGCCAAGGTTCAAGTTCATACCTAATTCACGGCTCTTGAATTGGACAAGAGGGTGGTTGTAAGCAGGTACCAAAGATTGGATTGTCCTCTTTGCCTTAATTGGTTGTGTTGTTAAAAGTCCAACGTGGCTTCTAGCAGTAAAAGCAAAGTTGTTATTTGATGAATGGAAGTTGGTCTTATCAAAAACGGGTTTAATCGCATATGTGAATTTATTATCTTCTAAGTTCCATCCGAAGTTCAAGTTAAGAGGAACATAGAAGTTGAACATTTTAGAGTTGTGAACACCATAGTTGGCTTCTATTTCGAGTCCTTGGTTAAACACTGAGAGGGAAAAGTCTGATGATGTGAAAGTTTGTGGTGTAACTTTGAATTTAATGTTTCCTGATGTTAATCCTAAAGTTTGACTAGTCTTTAAGTCAGATTTAGTCAATCGAAGGGAAACAATTTGATTGTTTTGTTTGATGGCAGCAATTGGTAAACCAATGGCAGTTGGAACAATATCGGTATAAGTTGATGGCATATAGAATCGAACCCAGTTGAAATCAACTTGATTCTTAGAGGCATCAGAAACAAAATTGCGCATAACACGTACAAATTGATTGTAGGCATTTTTCAAAGTGTATTTGTCCATAGTAAATAGAGAAGTTTGCTCATAAACTCGAACGAAAAATTGGAGCATAAATTCTTCCTCGTCTCTAGACTCAACTCCAAGATCTTCCCAAAGATCATCGATCTTTCGAGGATCTCTTGCCATTGTTTTGGTGGCAAGCTTCAGGTGCTTCAAAGCTGTTTCCAATCCTTTCTGCTGGAATGCAAAACTGAACCATGGATTTGATAAAGACTTCCAGTGTGAACCGATGATAACGTAACCATGTCTAGGGATGTAAGAGACATCGTTGGCTACAAATCGACCATTGGCGAAGAAACCAGTTGATTTGTCAGTTGAGAACCATTCATTGTATGAAGCTTGAGAGTAGACACCATCGAGGTTGATTTCGGGAAGAGTGGCAACGATTTCACGGGCAGCTTGAGCTAAGGGTTGGTGGCAAGCTTGGGTGAGGTTAGCAGTTTCTTCCAAGATGGATCGAACCATGGTGATAACTTGATGGTTGGTTTCATTTCGGAGTGAAACGGCAACAGATTCAAGTTCGTGTCTTTTAGGTACGGTAGACATGAAAACAGTGAAAGCAGCTAATCGTACTTCATAGGGTTCGGTCTTAGTGTTGAAGATGGTTGAAACTAGGGATCGGACTCGTTTAGGTTCAACTGGAATCATGTGGTGAAGAGAGTAGATGACTGTGGTTCGGAAGAAGGCACATTCGGAGACGTCACCAGGGCATACAAATTCACCCTTTGCATAAGGTGTAAGGTTTAAGAGAGAAATGAATTTACCCGAATGAGCCAAAGCTTGAGCGATCAAAAGTTTACCTCTCATAGATTGAGTTCGTACAAGGTTCATAGCTAGTCCAACGACATATTCAAATGTATCCTGAACGCTGCACTCTTCGCTCTCTGGTTCCTCTTTCATTATAAAAGATGTTCCTGGGTTTGGACAAGCTTTGGCTATAAGTTTACCATAAGCGACGACAAAAGCAGAAAGGGAATCCCAATCTTTTTGTACAATACAAGAATAAATCTTTTTGTGCAATAAATCAATCAAACTTGTGGGTGGGACATGAATATTGAGGGGTAAAGTTTCGACAACTTGTCGCACTTCAATTGGGAATAATCCATTAGAATCTGGAGTTGCATTAATTACTTTTTCCAACCATGTGACAACATTACGAGTTCCAACATGTGAAATAGCGTCAAGGAACAATTGTCTTCGTACTGAATTCAAAGCGTTGGTATAAAGTTGATCCTCTTGAACGATACAGTTTTCTTCGTAGACTTTCATGATGTATTTTAAGTCAAGATGAGCCAGATTTTGAATGATTCTTGTCATGAATCGAGCAACACTAAGCCGGTTCTCATTTGCTTTTCCAATTATGGTTACAGCAACTTGAGATAAAAGGTTACTAGTATCATGTGCCAATCTAAACATTATAAACTCGTTTTGTGGAGATATTGGAGTCAAAAGGTTGTATATTGGAATCTCATGAGTATATACCTTTGCAGATGAACCAGCATAAGGGTAAAGAGTAAAGGTTAGGTTTGAAACTCGGATAGCATTGTTTTCATTGATACGATCCAAGGGAGCACCTGAGATTCTGACGAATCTAAGAGTCTGGTTGGTGTAGGAAATGAATCGAGTGCCATGATTGTCGAAGATAACTTTACTGTTACTTTCAGCATTCAAAATGTAGGGATTTTCCATACATTCAATGGAGTAAGTGCTGGTTGACTGTTGGTCAAGGGGGTCTTGAGCGTCACAAGAGCATTCAGATTTTTCAGCTCCATAATAGTTGTTGATTTTGAATTGACCCAAAATTGGTGCTTTTTTGCAGTGTGCAGCACAATTTCGTGCCCAGTTATGGCGAGTCAATTCAGATGCGTTGTTACAGTTTTGATAGTTTCGTGTCTTGATGACTTTCCAGTAGAATTGTTCACTTCCAGGTAAACCAGAGACAGTTTCAGGTAAGGCATTGATGACTTGGTACATGGTTTCACATTCACCCTTTGAGGTTGGTTCGTAGACATCAAAAGAGTGGTGAATCTCGTCTCGTGAATGTTTAGTTAAATCATGTTCATGATTATGATTCATTTTCAACTGTTTACCAGCAATGTCGACCAAAAACATCTCGATGATGGCTTTCTTAATGTTGAGTGACCATGGTTCGTCCATTTTATCAACTTCGACCCATTCAAAATGTTTGGTTACATAATTGACGTGATATTGAACAGTTAACTCCAAGAGCTTTTTCTTCTCGGAATTTTCATTATCCAAATTGCCAAAATGTACATCATCTGGGTTGGTTATTTCATCAAGGACTTGAGTAAAACTAATGTTGGACAAACGCATTGCGTTCAAATGAACACCATTTTCACTAACAATGTGGGAAATCTCAACATTAGCCTGCAACCGAGTTCCAGAGTAAAGACTTGAACTGGATGGAATTCCGGTAACGACGCTTCCAATGTATTCATATATATATCGTTTATTTTCCTCGAACTCTGAGAAATGAAGATCGAGTCACAAAACAATTTATTGATTAGTTTTTCAGAACAACTAGTTAACAAGAAATATTAAGAAGCCATATTATTTTCACATTTAATGAAACTTGAAACTTGACATGAAACTTACCTAAAGGTTTGGGTTTGAGTTGACCAGCACAAGCTGAGACAACAAGAAGTGCCAATGTACTAAGAAAAATCTTCATTTCGATTTGATTCTCCAATCGTGTTGATGGTGAAAGGAGAAGACTGAAGTTTCTTCTCTTTGTCACAACCTTTTATGCTGTTCTGACCTTATCTTAATCAATCAAATCATCTTGTTCAGTCGACGTTAATAGGAAAATTTACTTCCAGTCAACTCAGCACTTTTACTCGTTCTTATCATCGTCTCCATGAATCTGAGATCTACTTGAACCATCATTCTAATAGTTGAATCTGTTCGATTGAACACCAGTTTTTATCAATGCTAAATAATCATTTTAGTACAATTATAACATGTTTACTCGGAATGAGTTTGATCACAATTAAATCAAATTGCAAATAGGAAAAGTCGCTGAGCATTTTCAGTATCAACCATCTTTAGTCCATGATGATTTGATGAGACGATTTGACAAATTATATGAGGGCAAACAGTATTTTTAAATAACTCAAATGATAGAATTTGTTAGTTGAAGAAAAACCTCAGCATAAAGTTAATAGCATTGAGTTACGGTCGAGTACCTAAAATTGCTTGCAAACTCAAATCTGGTTAATTTGCTATCATATTTGATAAAAAAGTTGTTGATCGACAGAGTCTGCTGATTAGCTACTCAAATTGTTGCTGTTGGTTGAATTTACCGATTTATTATCATTCCGTTGCAAAATAAGAACTTAAAGATGATTCTAACAAAAATTCCCTTTGATTTTATTTGAATTTCATGATTCATGGCATTGCTTTTTAAATGTAAAATTTTGCAGATAAACTTCACTGAAATACAAGCTCACAGTTATGTTACCGAATAGAGAATTTTTAGAGTAGTTTCATGAAATCGAAAGTTTGATCTATTGAAAGTTTCACCGAGTCAGCAAATTCTTACCTTGTACCCAATACCTAAACTTTGCAACTTATTTGCTGTTGAGATGTTCCTTCAATTACCATGATATTTACCTCTCAAAAAGTCTCCGCACCTCGGCTTTAATCTCATCGGTTGATTCATAAAAAATTCGGATAAAATAAAAATTATTGATCAATATTCATCTCATTTTCTGTAATCCAAAACAGAAAATATTTGATTGTTTGATTTTCATAGTTTTGGATTGATTCGTCAAAGTATCTGGCTCAAAGTTGATTAATGGATATAACAATTGAACAATTTATTTTTGCTGATCACTTACTAGTTATAATTATAATAGTTTTGTAAATGAATTGAAATAAAAGTAAATATAATGTATTTCGTTAATTACTTTATTTAATCATAATTATTTTTATAGATTAAGATTTGTTTTTTTTGTAGAATGCCTTTTCAGAACTTTACAGTAATATTTATGAATTTGTAAATGTTTTACGTTTGTCTTATGGGACTAACAGTGAACAAAAGAGGGCAAAGATCACTTGAACTCCTCTGATCACTAATTAAGCTAAACACCTAGCTGGTGCGTCGTAACGTAAGGTTTCAGTCGTGCGCATACTTACAACTTCTAAAACGATTCGTTTTTCAGCTTGATCAGCCCAAACACGAGCGATTGGAAGTATTTTCCCCCTTAGACAAGTTATTTCAGCCTCTATGGATTGAGTTTCTGTAGGCATCTCGCCATTTCTGCATTCGAGTATAGGTAACTTAGAGAAACAGATTTCCTTTTCTCGTCTGATGACTAAGGTTTTTAACATAGGGTAGGTAATGGACTTCTTTTCTGATTTACCGGCAGAGAGAAACTTTGGTGATCTTCTTTGGTACGCCATTGCGTCAACATCACAAACGTCATCGTGACATGGGTTTGGGTCAGTGCAGTTGTGGAGTGAGTATGAGTCTCGGAAAGCGGTGAGGTTTGATGCAAGATTAACCATTCCAGGGTCTAAGAATTCAGGGTAGAATTCTTGGTCTTGGTTACCGCAAAGACCACAGGTCTTACCAACGAAAAGAGGTGAAGTTGTGATCTTCAAGTAATGTCCATCGAAAGCAACTCGAACATTTTCTTTGGGTAAAACAACGTTAACAACACCATCGTGCATGAAGATTTGGTGAGCTTCATGGTATCGTGTGTTTGGTGACATGTCTAAACGAATGGCGGGTTTACCGGGTGTTAATACATAGTCAGGTCCTTGTTGTTGATCGAAACTGTTGTAGACAGTCAAACTAGCAGAATCCTTCTTGACATCATAGAGTTTGTAGTAGTTTTGGAGTGGAGTGTAGACTCTTACGGTTCGTTTACCAGCTTGTCCTTTAACGGTGACAGCGAACTGTTTGCTTTGTGAGCAATCCATGGAAACAACGAATTCACATTCGTCTAACCAGGTTCGGTAAGTGACGTTGTCAAAGGTTCGGATGGAATCCTTCATGAGAGTACAAGTTTGGTCTTTTGGCATCGGTGAAGCTTTAAGGTAGTTGATTGGGTGCATTGCGGGGAAAAGTGCAACTGGAACAAAGATCTTGGTGAAGTTAACCTTTTCAGTTGGAGTTTGAACAAATAAATTGATTACTGGTCGTTTGTAGATGATGTTTGAGTAAGCGGCAGCAAAGGTTACAACATCTTGTTCACCTTCGAATCTCTCAGATGAGATGTTTGACCATGGCTTCCAGTAGTACATGAGGGATCGTGTAAGTTCAGAGTAGACCTTTCTGATTGATTCACGAACAGGTTCTTGAACTCCTCGCCATTCGATCACTCCAGTGACAACATTGAAGTATGCTTGTTCAGCGATAACTCGCTCACAAGCGTGGTTGGTGGCATTACCGTTCTTGATGTCCTTTTTGCATTGTTTGTGGAACCATGATTCTCGTTCCATTTCAGGAATGACTGGGTCTCGTGCTGATCGGGAGAGGTCACCTTGAACTATTATATAAGAGCCAAGTTTTTCTGATTTGACATCACTGGCCCATGAAATGTAGACAATGTAAGGACTCTTGATATCTTCAGGGTTTCTCCATGCAAGGTCGCTTGGGATAACTGGTCGTTCTACTTTACCATCAATGATAGCTTTTCGAGCAACTCGGGTCCAGAGATCTTTGTTTTTGTTGTCTAAGGTTGAGTTGAATCTGAACCAGTAAGCATGATTGTCAATAGTAGATCCTAAAGTAAGGGTTGAGTTGAATTCGGTGGGTTCTGGGTGTCCGAAAGTAGCGAGGTAGAATTCGATAGAACGGGCAAAGAATGCAGGGTTGTTGATTCGGGATGGGTATCGTTGGATCAAATCTTGTACAATTCTTCGTGCATTAGTTTCTTCTGATGGGTTGGTTTCACCAATAGCGACGTATTCACCATCGATGTCTTGTTCGTATCTGAATGAACCAACAAAACCAGATGCTGGGTATTCCTCATTTTGAACAAGAGTCAAGTTGATGTTGTTGTTGAATTGGTTCATTTCATTGTATTTCTCCAAAAGCCAGGCAACGGTTCCTTCACATGGGATCTCGGTTAAGTCAATGAACCAGGGTCGTTCAGTGGATAAGCCAAGGTTCAAGTTCATACCTAATTCACGGCTCTTGAACTGAACAAGAGGGTGGTTGTAAGCAGGTACCAAAGATTGGATTTCCTTGGTGATGGCTCGTACTTTAGTTGCTCCAATGTAGCTTGGAATGATGAAAGCATAGTTGGCGTTTGATTGGAGGAAGTTGGTTTGTTCAAAGGCAGGCTTGATTGCGTATGTGTACAATCGGGTGTTGAAGTCCCATCCGAAGCTGAAGCTAATAGGAACATAGACGTTGAAGTCCTTGTTGGTGTAAACTCCATAATGGGTCTTGGACTTAAGTCCTTGGTTGAATACGGCAAGAGTCAAGAGTGATGATGAGAAAACTTGTGGAGTAACTTTGAAGGTGATACTGCCAGTAGTAATTTCAGAGATTGGCTTAGATTCGAATTCAGATTTGGTCAATCGAAGTGAAACGATTTGTCGGTTTTGTTTGGTGGCAAGAATGGGTAAACCAACGGCGCTTGGGACAACATCGGTGTAAGTTGATGGCATGTAGAATCGAACCCAGTTGAAGTCAACTCGATCATTAGAAGCAGCATTGACAAACTTGAGCATAACTCGAACGAATTGATCGTAAGCGTTTTGCAAAGTGTATTTGTCCATGGTGAAGAGAGAAGTTTGTTCATAGACTCGAACGAACAATTTGAGCATGAATTCATCTTCAACTCGGGGGTTGACACCACGGTCTTTCCAGAGTTCATCGATAGTTTTGGGGTCGACAGCATAAGAACCTGAAGCAGGGTTCAATATTTGTTTCAAAGCGGTTTCCAATCCTTTTTGTTGGAAAGCAACAGTGAACCATGGGTTTGAGAGAGACTTCCAGTGGGAACCGAGGGAAAGGTAACCGTGTCTTGGGACAATGGTGATGTTGTTGGCAACGAATTGACCATTGGCGAAGAAACCAGTTGATTTGTCGGTTGAGAACCATTCATTGTATGAAGCTTGAGAGTAGACACCATCGAGGTTGATTTCGGGAAGAGTGGCAACGATTTCACGGGCAGCTTGAGCTAAGGGTTGGTGGCAAGCTTGGGTGAGGTTAGCAGTTTCTTCCAAGATGGATCGAACCATGGTGATAACTTGATGGTTGGTTTCGTTTCGGAGTGAAACGGCAACTGAGTCAAGTTCGTGTCTTTTAGGTCCAGCAGACATGAGAACGGTGAAAGCAGCCAATCGTAATTCATAAGATTCGGTCTTTTTGTTGAAGACGGGTAAAACGAGGGATCGGATTCGTTTAGGTGCAACTGAAATCATGTGGTGGAGAGAGTAGATGACTGAGGTTCGGAAGAAGGTTCGGTCAGAAACATCAGAAATTTGAGTCTTGAGTTCACCCTTGACGTAAGATTCAAGCTCTTCAAGAGCTGCAACTTTGCCAGTGTGAGCCAAAGCTTGAGCAATCAAAATTTTACCACGAACAGATTTAGCAGACATGAGTTTTCCGCTCAAAGCCTTGATGTATTGAAGGGTTTGTTGGGCAGTACATTTTTGGTCTTCTGGAATCCACCAGTTGTTTACTCGAACTCGACTTTCATCGATGGCGATTTCGTTGTCAGATTCAGGGTAGACTTCTGGGTTTGGACAAGCCTTGGCAATGAGTTTACCGTAAGCGATGACAAAAGCAGAGAGGGAATCCCAATCTTCTTCTTGGAAGTAACCATTGATCTTCTTCTCCAATAACTGAATCAATTGGGTGGTTGGAGCGTAAACGTTGAGGGGTAAAGTTTCGACAATTTGTCGTACTTCAATTTGAGATAATCCATTAGAGTTCCAGCCGAGAACTTGTTCAAGCCAGATTGAGACGTTTTGGGTTCCAACGTGAGAAATAGCGTCAAGGAACAATTGTCTTCGGACTGATTCCAAGGTGTTGGTGTAGAGCTTAGCTTCTGGGACGATACAGTAGTCGCTGAAGATTCTCATGATGTGCTCTGAGTCAAGATGAGCCAATCGGGAAACAACCTTCTGCATAAGACTAGCGACCTTCTTTTGGTTCTTGTAATCACCTTCGATGACAGTTTCAGCAACTCGGTTCAACAACTCAACGGTAGTATCGAGTAAAGTTGATTGAGAGCCTGATGGAACCAAAAGGTTGTAGACTGGGATTTCGTGGTTGAATACATAGGCAACTGAACCGTTGTATGGGTAAAGAGAGAAGGTCAAGTTTTGAGCTCGAATAGCGTAGTTGGTGTTGAGTGGATCAATGGTACCACCATGAATTCGGACGAATTTAAGGGTTTGGTTGGTGTAGGTAACGAATCGAGTACCATGGTTGTCGAAGGTAACTTTACCGTTGCTTTCAGCGCTCAAAATGTAGGGATTTTCCATACATTCAATGGAGTAAGTGCTGGTCAATTGTTGGTCAAGAGGCTCGATTTCAATATCATTGCAGTTGCATTGAGACTTCTCAGCTGAGTAATAGTTGTTCATCTTGGTGAGACCAACAATCAAAGCTTGTTTGCAGTATTCAACACATCCCTTTCGTTCCCAGTTGTGTTGGGTCAATCGAGGAGTGGTGGTACAGTTTTGGTAGTTTCGGGTCTTGATGACTTTCCAGTAGAATTGTTCACTTCCAGGTAAACCATTGACGTTTTCAGGTAAGGCATTGATGACTTGGTACATGGTTTCACATTCACCCTTGAGAGTTGGTTCGTAGACATCAAAAGCATGATGAACCTCATCTTGAGAGTGTTTAGTAAGACCGTGTTCATAACCAGGAGCCAACTTCAACTGTTTACCAGCAATGTCGACCAAGAACATCTCGATGATGGCTTTCTTGATGTTGAGTGACCAAGGAACATCCTTTTGGTGAACCTCAATGTACTCCAATCGCTGGGTCTCTTTGTTGATTTGGTATTGAAAAGTAAGTTCCAAGAGTTCTTGGTTTTTCTGTTCAACAGCTTCCCAACGAGCAAAGTTGGCCTTTGCAGGTTCGGTAACCTCATCAATAAGTGATGCGAAAGTAACATTGTCTAACTTCAATGTGTACAAGTCGGTTCGGTCGTTTGAGTGGGAAATGGCAACATTAGCCTTCAATTGAGTACCAGAGTAGAGGCTTGAACTGGATGGGATTCCAGTAAGAACGTTTCCAGTGTATTCGTAGACATACTTTTTGTTAAGCTCGTAATCTGAGAATGGGAAGGAAATAAAAAACAAGAAAAAATGATTAGGCTATAAGTCAAGAGACAAGTTAAAACATTGATATGAATGGGAAACTTACCTAAAGGTTTGGGCTTGAGTTCAACAGCGCAAGCTGAGACGACAAGAAGTGCCAAAATACTAAGACAAATCTTCATTTTGCTTTTCTCCAATCGTATTGTTCCAAAAGGAGAAGACTGGAGTTTTTTTTCTTCGTCACCAACCTTTTATGCTGTTCTGACCTTATCTTAATCAATCAAATCATCTTGTTTAGTCGACGTTAGTTGAAAAATTTACTTCCACTCAACTCAGCATTTTTACTCGTTCTTATCATAGTCTCCATGAATCTGAGATCTACTTCAATCGTCATTCTAATTATTGATTCTAACCCGTTCGATTGAACATCAGTTATTATCAATGCTAAATAATCATTTAGGTTCAAGTATAAAATTTTTACTCAGAGCCAATTTTTTCTCAGTTAAAACAAATAGCAAAATGTAAAAAGTCCATGAGCATTTTCAATCATTATCAATCATCTTTACTCCATGATAGTCTCATGACATGATTTACCAAATTATCTGAATGCAAACATTATTTTTAACTGGGCCAAAATGTTAGTGATTGAATTAATTAGTGGAATAAAACCTGAACATGAATTTAATAGCATAGAGTTACAGTCGAGTACCTAAAACTGCTTGCAAACTCAAATCTGGTTATCAAGAAGTAAGTATTAATTTGCGATCATATTTGATAAAAAATTGTTGATCGACAGAATCAAAGTTGATTTACTACGTTGTGTATTTAACGGTTTATTATTATTAAATTAAAAAAATGTAAATTTAAAGATGACGAAAATTACGTTGTATTTTATTTCAATTTCATGAATCATTCCATTGCTTTTTAAATGTAAAATTTTGCAGATGAGTTTCACTTTAATACAAGCTCACAGTTGTGTCACTGAATAGAGAATTTTTATAGCATGACACAAAATCGAAAGTCTGATAAATTGAAAATTGCACCGAGTAAGCAAATTCTTACCTTTTACCTAATACCTAAACTTACTGGCTCCATTTACATTATTTGCTGTTGAGAAGCTCCTTGAAAAGTCTCAGCACATCGGCTAATCGATTGGCTCATAAAGATTCTGACTGACAACAAGTGATCAATATTTGGTTACGAAAAATTCCATTGATCTGAGTTCAGTTTACGTGAAGACAAAGAAGGGTACAAAAATGTAAAGATCTATGTATATGCAAGCAAAAATAAACACGATAATAACTCGATTCCATAATCATCTCATTGAAATTGGAGGGACAAACTTTAACGATTTGAATCATAAGCAATGAAAAATCACATTGCTGCTAGGTTTCGTTTTACATGGTAACCATTAAAATGATCCGAATATCACCTTTGATCATTGACGTGTTCTGCTTTTAAAATTTTCATCTTCACTTCAACAATTACTTTTATATTCAATATCTCGATTCATTTTAAAAAGTGTTAAAAATCTCATTCTTTGTAACTTATGAAACTACCCCAGGATACTGGTTAGTTGTGTTGAAAGGATGTTATACCGAAAGCTAACAGACTTAAGAATCAAATTTATTTAATCAACTGACTAGGCTTATTTCATCCACTAATACACTGAATAATTTATTAATCAATATTCATCTCATGTCCTGTAATCCAAACCAGAAAATATTTGATTGTTTTATTTTCATGGTTTTGGATTGATCCGTGAAAGTATCAAAGTCGATTAATTGATATAACAATTTATTTTTGTTGATTACTTACTATTTCGTTATAATTAGTTTTGTAAATGAATTGAGGGCAAAGTAAATATAATGTAATCTGTTAATTACTTTATTTAATCATAATTAT